TTTTTGCCCTTTTTTTGGTGATTCTTCCACCCAAATTCACCATTGGCACCACCATTTGAACCCCCATCCTCCCTTCTACAAAACCTTTCCCTTCACAGCCCCCCATCACTCACCAATCGCTAGCCATGGAAACCGTGACATGCCACTGTTTTTTGGCTGTTTCTAGCCGTTTTAAATGGTGACAACCCCAACCACCACCACCATTTGACTCCTCGCATCCTCCCCTACAAAACCTCTAACCTTCCCAACCACGACAGCTCACCGTTTTCCGTCCACCACTTCACCAAAAAACGGCCGATTAACACGAACTCTTGGCCAGAGAACAGCGACTAAATGGTTGTTGGGGACATAACGGTTTTATAGAGTTGGAGATTTTGGTTGCAGTGGTGGTGTCCAATTGGATTTTCACCGCCAGAATCGATTAAAATTTGGCGAAGAACAGCAAAACCCTAAGCCTAACAACATCGGCAAGTGGAGGGGCCAATGAGTCAGGAACCATAGGGGTTTTGGACGATGGACTATGAGGAAGGTGATGGAGGTGACTAGGGGGTTTGACATCGTCAGAAACAACCCAAATTGTGCAGTGACCGAGGGTGTTATTAAGATAATTTGAAAATAAAATGGTAAGTTTTATAATTCTACTAATTTAGGGGTAAAACATAATTTATTAATTTAGGGTTAAGGTCATTATGGTAATTGCACCCTCTATACCCAAAAAATTGCTTACAGTGTTATGTTAAGGGTGGGAATTTGGAATAAATGTAACTAGGGGTACCAACTTAGGATTTTGTCAAACCTTGAGTGGGAATATGTCATTTACGCTTTCAAGAATATAATACTTTAATGACGATGAACCATTATTTGACCAAAGTTCAACCGCAATTGAACATGTTAGGTTGTTTCTAGGGATGGAAATTGTCCTTGTGGGGATAGGTTCCCACTTGTCTCCCTCTCATTTGAGGAGGGAATTTAAACTAAAATTTTGGGGATGGGGTGAGGATGGAGATGAAAACTCATCTTCGAATTGACTTTAGAGAGGGTTGGGGATTAATTCATTTAATTAAAAAATGTTTAAGGAATGTTCTAAAAACATAAAATAAAGTAACCACAGAAAACGAAAACTCAATTTTGTAAATTAAATTAGGGAGATCAAGTCTTTATTATAATAATTGGTATTTATATTTCATTTAATTATATTGAAATTATATTTTTTTCTATATGAATTTGATTTCATTTTTACTTGTTATATATATTTTGTTAATCTTAGTGTAGATTTTAAAGTGTTGAATTTCATCTTTTTCACTTTCAAAACTAAAATATTACAAAAATTACTATTGAAATCGGTTGTCATAGAATATCATTAAAAAAAATAATTTATTTATACTTGGGAATCAGGTCCTTGCAAGGATTCATATCCCCATTCAGGGATCCCCGTCCCCATATTGGTCAAATCAGGGATGGGGATCAAAACCTCTTTTAAGGATGGGGATGCGCATGGGGATGATCATCCCTACCTCCACCCGTCCCGATTGCCATCACTAGATGTTTCCTTCTAAGTTTTTGTAAAGGCATAAAAATTATAAACTTTACGAGTAGTTTGTGCATTTGGTTTTGTTTCAATTAACTTATTGACATTGTTTTAAAACCCAGATGGAACCAGCTATTGGGAACCGAACTTTTATCCGGTCCGGGTACATCCTAAACCTTGTTATAATAGTTGCATCAGATTGAAATAGTGTTAAACTGGTAGAACAGTGCTAAATTGTCGATCGGACCAGTAACGCCAGCATGGCATAATAAAATTTTAATTATTCTTTGGATTTCGATTTCAGATTTATTTTATTTATGTTACAGTGTTATTTTGATGGATTTATTTTAGAAATTTATTAATTATTAGAGTTTTAAAATTTTATTACGTCATACTGACATTACTAGTCTGACACTGCGGTCGGATCGCTCGACACAATGATCAACCCCTTGACCAAGTCAGGCCTGTTCCAAGTATAAAAACATTGCTTACAGGACCTTTAAGGTGGCAATTGAGCCGATAGAAAATCAGACCGATGTCCTGTCAAACTATTATTTGGTAAGTCCATGAGATTGTGATGGAAATTTAATGTTAAATCAAATTGCTTGTAAAATGAGTTCATCGATATAAACTTTTAGAACTTGATAAGATAATTAGTGATTTGGATACTTCTAGATATTTGTGTAAATGTGAGACTGAACTGGCGCTTGGCCCAGTCACTCCACTTGAAGATAAGTTTCTGATTACATGCAAATAATACTATGAACGAATAGTTGAAATTATGTAAAATGAGATTAATTAGTGTCATGAAATATTATTAGTGAAGATAAGTTTCCATAGCTGTTTGGAGGTCTATTTTAAGTGGCAATAAACCTTAAGCCCAATACCCATAACATTATTCCAGACTGTCAACTTAGCTCAATTAGAAACTGCACGCATTGGCCCAGCAAAAAACAGGCCGAAAGTTTGTTCTTAGGCCCATAGATAGAGAACACTGATTGGAGACGGAAGATAAAAGAGAGAGCAATTAATCCGATATATGCAGGAGATCATCCATTACATATTGACATGTTACTGTTGGTGATAATTCATAGCTGCATTCCATTTTATTTCTCATATTACAAGTAGCCAACATACATATATTATGAGGATATTACTGTTGGTGATAATTCATAGCTGCATTCCATTTTATTTCTCATATTACAAGTAGCCAACATACATATATTATGAGGATATTACCTTCCTGTGGAAGATAATCAATGAAGATCTAAACTGATCATTTCAATAGACTTTTCTGATTCAATCTATTGCTTACCTTCTTACGAGCCATCTCAATTGCTAAACAGAGATGTAATATTGGCCAAAATTTTCTGACCATAATCTATGCTAATACTACTAAAGCTTGCTGGGAAATATAAAGATAAACAAAGAGAAAATCTGAGTACGTAATAAGTGAATGACAATATAATTAAAATTGATTGATTCTGGGCGTGAGCCAGGACTTTATAGCAGCTGTAAATATAAATGCAAAGCACAGATGATCGACTTCTTTAGCATCTCCATTGCCAAATCAGTTTCTTTCTGTGTATAATACAAATTATAAAGGTGAATAATATATTATAGGAATATTAGTTATTTTTTCCGGTTAGTAGTCTAAGAAAGTGGCTACTGGAAGTCATAATCATATTATTCCGCTTAATTAAATTTTAGTTCTATGTGGAATTTTCAGGAGGTACTTGCAGAATTTATAAAAGGGTATTCAATAAAAAGGGAATGTAATTGCCAATTCTATGGTAAGGGTTGATTCATTGACTTCGGCTTTCAGCTAATCTTATATTGTGATGAAATTTTTTATCCACAAAAGAATAACTATTCATCTCAAATAAAACTGTTTCGTCCCAAAAAAAAAAGCATAATTGAGGACAAAAAAATTCGTCTTTGATTGGGTTGATAATTGGAGACAAATATTTCTTTCCTTGTCTGTGTGGTAAATTGGGTCGATTATTAAGTAACCACTGTAACCTAATACACAAAATTTGACAAAAAGACACAAAAATCTTTTTGTCTTATCTAATTATAAATAAAATATACAAACATTAATTAAATATAATAAATATAAAGAATCCAAAAATATGTTTTTTTATCTAATAAAATTAAAATAATAACTGTATAAATCAGAGAATTTTTTTAAAAAATATTATAAAAGTTAAAAATAATAATATAAAAAGATTTAAATTTAAAATCAAGAAAATAAAATAAAAAATGTTAAACAAAATAGATAGGTGTATTTTCTAAGATAAACTATTTGTTTACTTTGTCTTTTTGTTACTCATGGTCAATTCTACTATCATATATACAAAAAAGGTAAATTCTTTTGTTTTTAACAACGGTTAGTTATTACTTATTATAACATTTGGGCTTGTGATATCACTTATTTAAACCTTTGAGCCTAACGCCTTACATTAAACCTTAAAAGGTATGAATGTTTTAAAGCCCACAAACTTTATACAAACCAAAGGTCCACAGGTCACTTATTCAGAATAGTAACATCATATATTTGATAGCAAACGACATGCTCCCGCCCAACTTTAGCGAAATAGCAAAGGCCCACCCTGGTTTCATAAATTTCATATTATCATTCTTAAATTAACATAAAATCGTTTAAAATAATGGTAAAAGGTACACTAGTCAATTACACAGCGTTAAATCTGAAATGACAATGAAAATGATCTCAATGGGTGTAGTGGCTGGTGGTGGCTTTGAGTGAGGGATTTTGTCAAACAGGTGGTGGGCAGCTTGGAAATGCTGTAGAGTCGCCGACGACCAGGTAATTACACACAATACACTTCAAAAAGCAAACCACAGATCAACACCGAGGAAATCCGACGATTTGCAGAGGATAGGGGTCGCAAAACGCGACTTACTTGGGGCATCAGAAGGAGGTCACATGCGGCGAACAATGAGTGGAGGGAGCCAGAGAAGCTTGGGGTTTAGAAGAGGGGAGGATGGAGGTTCGAATGGTGGCGATAGGGGGAATTTCCGGTGTCAAAAACAGTCGAAAACTGGCCGAAAAATAGTGAGTTCGCGAGAAAGTGCAGTGGCCATTCAAATAGAAATTATTAGTAGAAATTTTAGAAAAACCGATTCAAAGAAAATTGATATCAAGTTAATTAAGTCGTGTTGGTCAGCACTCTACAATTTTCTTGATATCAATTTTCTTTGAATCAGTCAGAAAAACCGATTCAAAGGATGGTATCTGTGATGTGAATATTATCATTTCCACGAGTTCAATGAATTTGTCTCCGGAAAACTAATACAATTTGAACAAATTGGTACTAAAGCCGAAAGGGACGACCACTGGCTGGATGATGTCAAAGTGAAACACACGCAAAAACAGAATTTTGACGCTCAAGTTAACTGATTCTACACGCAATTATTAGGTATGTTCATATGTAATATTAGGTATGTTCATATGATGTATGGACACTTCTCAGTCAAGTCCGATGTTTTCAGCTTTGGCGTCTTAGTCTTGGAAATCATTAGTGGCCAAAAGAACAGTAGTTTTTGTAATGGAGAAGAGGGGGAGAACCTTCTAACTTATGTAAGCAAAATCTTTTAACAATTTTATCTTCTTCTCCTTTAGATAATAGATAAGTTATGACAATGAAATTTCAAAAATCCAAGAAAGGCACTAACATTGTATTTGCATTGTTCATTTTTTGTAGGCATGGAGAAATTGGAAAAAAGGGACAGCTTTAAATATGATAGATCACACTTTGAGGGGTCATTCCAGTAGTGAAATTATGAGGTGTATTCATGTTGGATTACTATGTGTTCAAGAAAATGAAGCTGATAGACCAACCGTGACTTCAGTTGTTCTAATGCTAACTAGCAACTCTGTCTCTCTGTCAGTGCCGTCAAAACCTGCATTCTTTATGCCCAGCGTTGTGGAACAGGATAAATCTGAAGTCACTGTGCCGGGTCAATCAAAAAGCAATTCTGTCCAATATTCAGTGAATGAAGCTTCAATCACTGAGCTGGATCCCNGCGATTGTTATTAGATTGGGAAAAACGATACAAGATCATAGGAGGCATAGCTCGAGGAATTCTTTACCTTCATGAAGATTCAAGATTAAGAATCATTCATCGCGACTTAAAAGCTAGCAACATTCTTTTAGATGCAAATATGATTCCAAAAATTTCAGATTTTGGAATGGCAAAGTTATTTGAAGTAGATCAAACTCGAGGCGATACAAGTAGAATTGTTGGAACCTTGTAAGTATATACAAGAACATACTTAAAGCTTGCTAATTAAAACTAAATTTTTTATTCATATCCCAGGAAAATATCAAGATCTCTTATGTTTTACCACTTCCTATATGTGGCAAAACCAGAAATAATTTGCATATGATCATGGATAGTTTTGGTTTTCAGTAAAACTAACTAATTCTAACTTATGACCCTTTTCAGTGGATATATGTCTCCTGAATATGTAAAGTATGGACACTTCTCAGTCAAGTCCGATGTTTTCAGCTTTGGCGTCTTAGTCTTGGAAATCATTAGTGGCCAAAAGAACAGTAGTTTTTGTAATGGAGAAGAGGGGGAGGACCTGCTAACTTATGTAAGCAAAATCTTGAACTATTTTATCTTCTTCTCCTTCAGATACTGGATAAGTGATGACAATGAAATTTCAAAAATCAAAGAAAGGCACTAACATTGTATGTGCATTGTTCATTTTTTGTAGGCATGGAGAAATTGGAAAGAAGGGACAGCTTTAAATATGATAGATCACACTTTGAGGGGTCATTCCAGTAGTGAAATTACGAGATGTATTCATGTTGGATTTCTATGTGTTCAAGAAAATGAAGCTGATAGACCAACCATGACTTCAGTTGTTCTAATGCTAACTAGCAACTCTGTCTCTGTGTCAGTGCCGTCAAAACCTGCATTCTTTATGCACAGCGTTGTGGAACAGGATAAATCTGAAGTCACTGTGCCGGGTCAATCAAAAAGCAATGCTGTCCAATATTCAGTGAATGAAGCTTCAATCACTGAGCTGGATCCCCGTTAACATACAAGTATGCTAGATCTTTAAGCATGTTTGTTCTCTAAACTTCTACTTTGAGTTTAAATAAATTTTGTAAAGTAGCAGTCACACATTAGCAGAATACTCTGTAGTTCTTCTGATTTTCTGGAATAATATTCAAGTCGTTGAACTAAAGAGTAAAAGGTATTGTTGTTAATTATTTTTTCTTCATCTGAAAAATCTACTTCTCGTCATCAGAGCTTCATCACTGAGGAGAATCCTTTATTGTATTAGCCCTTTGTTCTTCAGATGTGTAAGCAAATGAATGTAAGCTGTCCAGAATTCTTCTACATTTCCTGTGATGAAGTCTTATTTAGTTAGAAGAAAAATTCAACGACTAAGCTTATCCGTGATTAAACCCAATTATTGAATGGATAGCTCTAATGGTTGTCCCTATTATCAACAAATAAGAGACTTAAATTTAAGACCTCTTGAATAATATACTTAAGAGTTTCTATCAAACCACTCAATCACCAAGAGGTAGTTTATATATATTAAAAAAACTAGAGTATCTGGGACAATATTAAATACCTTATAAGCCTAATGTTTGAAGATAAGTCTCAACTATAACAGGTGACCAAAGGTGGTTTGAACACAAAAAAACAAACATTTTTTATCATTAGGCTAATCCCTTGGCGTTATTCAACATCTTTTTGTCATTAATAAAGGGTGATTTTTTAGTAGGGATTTTAGAACTTGAATTTCTACAAATTAATTTAATTAATAATTTTAGTCAACAGATGATGTATATGCATATGTATCATATAATGGTGGCCGACACCAAGTCAGTACTATCAATATCACCAAATTTATGAAGTTAATTAATTTTCTACAACCACTTGTTCTTGGAAGAAATTGTCAGCGGAAAGAACCGTAGGAATTGCCTCGTAATGCAGATGAAAGGGACGACATGGGCCAGAGTAATGTGGTACACACAAAAACGCCAAATTTTCTNTTCACCTGAGCAAGAACCCGGTGTATCACAAACGAACAAAACATGTGGATGTAAGGCATCACTTCGCCAGAGACCTGATTGCAAAGGGAGAAATTAATCTTTTGAAGGTTCTTACTAAAGATAATCCAGCGGACATGGGAACAAAAGTGGTGACCACAGCCAAGTTCAAGCACTGCTTGAACTTGCTTCACATCAGATAAACACTTTCCTTTAGAGCTGAGAAGAAATATGAGATAGCTTACTGCACTAAAAGGAAGTCTAATAAATGGGAGGAAGAAAGGTTGGCTTCAAGGTGGAGACTGAAAGATTATGTGAAGCCAAAACGGAGTCGTTTCACTTAAGTCCATTAGAAGCCAAAACGGGGTTGTTTCACTTAATGCCATTATTGAATCCTAGTTGTCAGATCAAGACAGATCCAAGGGCTGACATTTGCTAATATGGACATATATAAAAGTAGCAACAGTGTTGTGAACAGTCGGATCATTCTAATCTGAAATTAGGGTTCGTGAGAAAAATAAGAGAGAAATTAGGGTTGGTTTTTGCTGGGTATAATCTGGGTAGATTGAGAGAGGGTTGTGTTTCCTTCTTGAGGCTGGTGTTTGTCCTCTGTTTTCTTGCAGATTATTGAGAGATTCTTGAGCAAATAAGCCTTGGTTGAGGGTTTGATTTATTTTGGCAGATTTGTATAATTGTCTTCTTGTAATCGTTGACTATCTTTTAGTGCTGTAAGCATCCTGTTTTCGGAGCTCAACGTGGATGTAGTTTATCCAAGATTGGATAGACGAACCACGGTAAATTCGTGCCTTGATCTGTGTATGTGTGATTCTCTGATCTTGAATCTTGTTTGTGTTTATTTGTATTGCGAATTTGCTTATTAGGCTTGGGTTATAACAAAAGACATTCTAATTACCATAATTGATGATTAATAATCATATTTTTTTTGTTTAAGCTAGCTGGTTTCACCTTTTGCCTTGCATGTTCTCCATATCGAATAGCATAAGTAACAGAACACAGGAACCAATAGAGTTGCTCCTACTATAATCAATGATAACCACCACTTGTCTTCTGCATTGAAATTTTTTCATTACTTCATTTGATTTACCATAGCAAAGAGTACATTTAAGGATTAAGATTTGATTAGAAAAAATAAAGAAAGGAAAATCAAGATACAGATACAAAAAGTATCAACGAAATGATATTCTCTTAGTTTCATCTTGAAAAAAAATAAAAAAGGTGTTTGTACCTTTGTTTCTTCTTTTAAAGCTCCACAAAATAGCCATCACAGTTGAGAGGGCAGAAGTTGAAACAATTGCTACTAATACTGGAACAATAAAATCTATTTTCTCTGTGCAATTCAGAACAAAGATTTGGATTTCTGTCTACGCTGAATTAAAATCAAAAGGTGATTTTAACAACAATCTAGGGCTCCAGATCACGTGAATCCGATGCTCTTACACATAATTGCAATTTTTTTATGGCATTTAATTAATAGATCATCTCGGCTGGTTTCAGAACAATGAAATGGAGGCTTGCTCTGTTTTTTGGGCCATCTGCAGGCCCATGCCCAAAGTGAACATCCCAAGGATTCACCAGGTTTTTATTTACTTTTTTATATTTTTAAAACTTTTAGATTTATTAATTATAATACAATAATACAAATTAATGATTGTATCTTATAAAATTAAGTAAATTCTTAGATACAAGTTTATATTTGGGTTTCATTCAAATGTCTTTCACCCAAAATACATCACTTAATTCCTTAGCTCGTTTACTTGACGAGGTGGGATGTGACAATATTGGACAAATTTATTGATATGGCATGAGAGTTTTGGACAAAATACCTTAATGATAAGAAACCCTTTTGTGATTTTTCAGTAAGTTCAACTAGTACTGAACCTATGAGCATATTTCCACTTAAGTTTCTGCAAAAATCATACAAGAAATGTGAATTAGTCCTTAGCTTTAATATCAAGAAACATGCAATTTCAGTTTAAATATCCCAAGATATCAACTTACAAGGTCTTCAAGAATGGCAGCTGAGACAAAAACTTGGGCACTAATCTGGTCAAACTATTGTTTGATAAGTCCCTAACATAAGAATATATAATTTTTTGGAGTGCATCAAATTTAACTTCATCTTTAAAAATATTGACAGGACCGAAGCATAATGAGACTGAGATTATGCTTACAGGTGTTGTATCATTGTAAGATTGGATATGTAAGGAGGGATCTCACCAGTCAGTCCATTTGAAGATAAATTCCTAAATTGATGTCCATTAATTTGATTAACAAAAGAGTTAAAAAATAAATAAATAAATAAAAAGTCACATAGAATATGTTCTTGAATACATGAACTTACAGAGAAATAATTCTTGGAGGATTACTACCATTGAAACTGCAATCAAGGCCATCCCACAAGTATTCTTGACGGGCACAGGGATCTCCTTGCCAATCTTTTATCTTATACAATGACTTGATATTCTTGATAGCATCAGCTGATGTTTCCATATGTAAGTATTCAAAAATTAAAAAGTTTTTTACAGACAGTGAAATGCAGATATTTCTAATTCGGAAGAGTACCATCTACTTGTTGGTTTCTGACTGTGCAAAATCTTTCACTAGATAAAATTCGACAACGTTGAATGGAGGGAGGGTTAATCTTCAGTTTTTAGTGATTAAATACACAGTGTCCTCCGATAAAGCTGAAGGAAAGTGAAAAAGGTCGCGCACGTGTAACATGGACAAATCGGTTAGACGAAAATTCCATTCAAACAGAAATATTGAATCTTCTTGACTGATTCTTAGAGATATTCAATTTCTGCAAAGTGCATGTACACATAAAGCTGGGATGTCGAATCCGGAGTGCTTAAAAGAATTGTAAGGGGTCACTTGCAATTTTTGGTGTACCACACTCCCTAACACAATTGTGAGGCTTATAATCAGTATTACTTCAACATCATATATATAAATAACAGATAATTGTTTCCAGTCAGGATTGTTATATGCCATCCATACCCGATCGAAAACATCATCAATACTGCAGGAATATTTTCTTTCTAGTTAAGCATAGAGTGAATTGATCTCAAAATTGTTAACAAAAATATTGTGACTAAAATGGCTCATCACCTGATTGTTCGATTTGTAGTTGGTTGAACGTTCTCCTTTTATACATCATAAGCGATCCAGATTAGTTACGTAAGTGGTACTCCTCAGGGGCCTGAATTCTAAAATGAAATCAATGGTGTCCCGGAACCTGTATTCACCAGACAGACATCAATATAATTCGATGGCAAAACATGTATGATTTCCTTAAACAGGGTGGTGGAAACATCACCAAGAACAACAGAATCCCACAGATTGGCCCCCAGGTACAGATCAAATGACTGCGGTGGTATAGCTTTGTCATCAAAATTTCCATGAAAGAAGGTTGCTAAGATCAAGTATCTACTTTGTTTGGTAACTTTTACATGGTAACAGTTTTTGGGACCTTCAGGAAAGCTTCTGAGAGTCCATAACGGTTGTTCAAGGCTATCTTATTGATACGATAGTGCTACACTGCTGCTTATCCTAGTTTCTATGAAGCTTGCATCGGAAACGTAATAAAGGCCAGTTTGTGAATCAGTGTAGTTTGAGTTTGCTCCGCAATCTATGCTGACGAATCTTGGAAAGAAGAGAAAAATTATTATCTAGTCTCACTTTCATTTTCTGTGAGAATCAAATATTACAAAAGATTCGGAAATGGAAGACCTGGTTTCTGAGCATGGACCTGTAGAAGTATAAGAGCGAAAGCAGCTAGAAATGCAAATAATATACTCTCAGGACCATAAGAGACTTGATTAAACAATAAAATTGACACTTTTAAATTATATGGAAAGAGTTTTTAAAACCTGATTGACTCTGGGCGCGAATCACGGCTATAAAAGAAGCTATACTTATGAATGCACAGATGATCAACTTGTCTAACATCTCCATTTCCAATTTCGGTTTCTTCTTGCGTGTCTCATAAAATTTAAAATGCTCTGAATAGTATATTATAGGATGCTCAAATTAATTTTTCTATCAAGTACTCTAAGCA